TCCCTATCCCCTCGTGTGCCTTGCTCCCACGACTATATATATTATAATTACAACTATTAGTAAGAATATATATTGTTGTAAATCATGAATTAACCGTAACTTGTGTAAAGACCATGAGTGCCCAGATTGTGATCAAAACATGAAAGGTATCTAAATCAGTCCTACCCTAGTCCCCATTTTTGCCAATGAAGAAATGTGTATCTTACGAAAAACAAATTAAAGCTAAGCACCAAGAGCAAACGGATTAGAGGTCTATAGTAAGATTTCCCCAAATGCCAAAAACCATTAAACAAATAATTTTTTCTTGCTAAGTCCATCAGAAAAATATTAATTCTCAAATTTGATCAACACGAATAGCAGTTCCATATATCTGTAAATAATCAGATTTAAAGATTATAGAAACAATGAAATCAAGGACTTTTCCATATTTCCGCAATTTAAACAAGCACAAAGTCCATCCACAAAAGTCAATGAATCAAAAACATCAACAGAAAGGGAAGAGAGAGAGAACAAAAACATTAAAGATGAGCGACGAGAGGGACAAAGTGAAACCTAACAGAAACAGCCAAACATTAAGCATTTTAGAGAGAGAAAATTGACAGAGAGAGAAAGAGAGAGAGAGAAGGGCAAGCAAAAAAAACCTTCGAATTGATTTTAAGCGAAGGGTGACGAGGCGGTTCTTGGGAGTAATCAGAGGGTCCTCTAATCCCAGGCATCTCTGCTTTCACTTAGTAGCTCTCTCTCTCTCTCTCTCTCTCTAAAATTAACCATATATAGCAAGTGAAGGCGAAGGATTCGAGGATTGGAGGCGAGAAAAACAAATACTGGGGGAACTCACTCGAGAGAGTTGAGGAGAGAGAAACAAGAATTTTAGGGCTTGAACCGAATACAGTGGAGGAGAGAGGAAATATGTGCTCCTCGCGTTTGGGAAGAGAGAGAGGGAGTGCTCTGCAGGGAGAGGGACAGAGCGCGCTCTCTCCTGCCACGGCGAGACCACGTGCTATCCACGTATCATCCCAAAAATTTGGTTAAATGAGAGAATTTGTGTGATGACGAGGAAAGGCAAGGCATTTAGCTTGGTGTTTTGTGTCTGTGTTGTACATGTTGATCGCACTTCCGGTTGATGGGACTACAGGATGAGAAAGCCTTATTTTTCTTTTGCTTATCAAATTATTCACGAGAAACCAGTAATTTAAGATTCCTCCCATATTTCTTACTTGACTGGTGTCGTCCAAGGCCTGTATCACCCAAATACAACCTTGTGGTACTGGCACTAAGTGCCCTAGACGACACGAAACGTGTCGTTTTGGGCGTATGGGACAAGACGACATGAATCGTGTCATCTGAGCCTTGCATCACCTAGGTGCAATTTTTTAGCACCAGGTGCCCTAGATGACACCAGATGTGTCATTTTGGTCAAATCCACCCACTTGGACGGTTTTTGTGTCATCTAGGTCAAAGATGACCAAAATCTCGAGATTTCAATTCTCGTGGTATTCCACTCATTTTTAAATGATTTTTATCTTGTTTTCAAATTTAAAAGCTACCTTTATACTGAATTTTGATTATTTCAAATTCAAATGATGATTTTATGGGATACGGGACTGTAGACCGCAAGGATTGGTGGCTCAGTGTATCTCTTAGGTTTCACTAAGTATTTCTAAGGCATTTCTAGAGGTTTTAAGGTGAGAAAAAATAACGAAAAATATAAAATTTAAAATGGGGTGTCTACAAAGACGTTGTGCATTGTGTTGTGGGTTGGACCTTAGGTGTCACATGCATGTTGGATGTCAAAGCAATGCACATTGCAACATGGAAAATTTAGTCCGGCTTTTCAACTTTGGAACCAAAGAGGTGACAATAACAGTACCACTAGGTGTGGGTTGTTTAAAACTAAATTTCAATAGAAATTCAATGGATTACCCGGGCTTTCAGGCTTTGGAGGAATTCTTAGAGATGTAGACATAGAGTTGATTTTTTGTTATGTTGGGCCTTGTGTGGTATCGAATGAAGCGGAGTTGGAGGCACTTGAGCAAGGAGTATAGTTCATGGTTCAAAGGGATTTACAAACACCGTGTGTTTTTTAAGGTGATTTTCTCAACATCATAAATTGGTGTAACCAGGTCACAAGGCCTCCCTGACGACTACGAAGCAAATAGATGAAAATTATGGGTTTGTGTGAGTCTTTACGGCTATCATTTCAGCATGTATATAGGGAAGTGAATGACATTACAGATGATTTGGCAAAGCGAAGAGCTCTTTTACATTCCATTATAATATATGTTGTAATCATCTCTTAAGTTGTATTCCATGATTGATTAATAAAATGAAGTAATATTGTCAAAAAAAAAAAAATTTGACAATAACAATATGGAATAAATAATCACAACCCCTCAATGTTCAGTTACAATATGGAACAATATTATCATTAATTATAGAAAATAAAAAGGGCATTTTGATTAAATAAAGCTCTTGAATCTATCACTCAACCAAAGTTTGTTCTACATTAGTTTTTCAGCTAGTTAATTCTCTTCTTGCCCACTTTTTCTCAAATAAAAAGCCACTCTAATGCTCTAGATCTTATTGTACTTATAAATTTATACAGGCAAATTAGTGTTTGAACTTCTATTTCATATACCCATATGACTTAAACATTAAGTGCCAATTTATATTTGAAAATAGGGGGATTGTATACGATGAGACCATTTATTTTTAATACAAAGATGTCACAATTACTTACAACTATCCAATGTGAAATCCGATAGCTTGGGTGTATCACAAAGTTCGAAAAAATTCCTTTTGAAGTTTGAGCTTGGCCAATGGAATAAATGTAGCCATCTAATTTTACATACAATCGTCCATATTAATTGTGACCAACTTGTACCAAATATAAATGGTCTCATTATATACTTTTCCCAAAACAGAAAGATGTTGAGTCTAATACGAGTTATCAATATATTTGTTAATCATTCACCCACACCCACTTTCGAAGATGGAATTGCCTTACAAAAACACATGCTTGCGGAAATTCAAATGTAGTGCAAAATTTGTGATCTCATACTTTTCGAATCATCTTTGATTCTCTTCCCAAGATCAATTAAGAGAATAATATGGCCTTAAAAAAGTTATCTTAATTTGCTTTTCCCTCAAAGTTTGGCTTAGAACCCTCCATTTGAGGAACAAAAGGTTTTAGCATTTTGAGCTCATGTACATTTGTCTTACCTAAATTGTCTTTGAAAATTTTAAGATGTTAAAGAAGTTTCCCCAAACTGGAGCGGCCACCTAACAAGTGGTGTAGCAGAAAGAAGACCACTTAGAGGGGAGTAATTTCGGTTTTATAGTTTTTAATGAAACAATCCTCAAAACTCATATTAGGATTATTTATTTGACCTTAATTTTTACATATACATTTTTTTTATTCTAATGAACAAAAAATTTGGAAACACAGCCTAAAAAGTGCTTTTCAGCTCATTTAGCATAGGCAGTTCATTTTAGTGAGACGCTTAAACCTAAGCCTTAGAAAGATTTTTTTTCCATTTTCAAATTTTTTAGAGGGTTTTATTATCATTTGATGAATAATATTAGAAAAAGAAAAAGTGATTTTATGTTTATAAATTTCTAAATCTTAAAATTTTCCAAATGGATAGTTTAAATTCATTGTTTGGGGTGGGGTGGGCTCATTTGAGCATATCTAAAGTGCAAATTAAATTTTATATTTTTGGGGATTGATTATTGAGATAAAGAGAGAGCGTGTGTGTATAATTTTTAAAGATATAAATACGGCAAATATAATTTTCTAGAAGTGTTGTCTCATTATATTACAATTGACATGTTAACGTGAAATCATTTCCCTTATTTAAAAGGGAATATTACAAAAAAAAACTCAAGAATAGACTTCCTACGCAACTTACCCCAACCAAACTTTTTTTTCTCACTTTTAACCCCAAATCTAACTTTTCTAGATATCCCCCAAGTCAATCAAAAAAGTCATTTTTTTTTTTACAAAAATGGCCATAGTGCCGGATTGCCCCCCATTTTGTGCCGGACCGCATGCCTTCCAAAAGCCCAATGTACCAGACCGTCCCATTTTATTCCAGAAGCCCAAAGTACCAGACCGTGCCATTTTATGCCCGACCGCATGCTTTCCAGAAGCAACGTTCCAAACCGCCTCCATTTTGCACCGAACCGCATGCCCAACATAACTGACCGCCCCTATTTTGTGCCAAACCACCCCCATTGGACCGCATGTTTTCCAAAGGGTATTTTGGTATTCATTTCACTTTTTTTATGACTTGAAGGATATTTGCTAAGACAGTTAAATTTAGGATAAAAAGTGAGAAAAAAGTTTAGTTGGGGGTAAGTTGCATATGAAGTCTATTCTTGTGGGTTATTGGTAATTTTTCCAATTTAAAATCAAGGGCAAGCCACCATGTGGATGTACAAGGCAACTCATAAAATTCTGACCATTATGGGTGGCAATGGACCCAACCAGACCCCAGACTCGACGAGTAGACCCAACCTCAGGTCCTGGAATGGGTCCAAATTTTTTACCTGAATACTATTCGGATCCAAGGTGTTCATATTATCACAATATTTGCAACATTTATGGTATTATTGGCCAAAGAAAAGAAGCTCATAGTCAAAATATATGATGGTTAAAAAAAAAAGAGCAAACAAAAAACTCATATTCATAAGGCGGTCAAACCCAAGACCCAACGAATCCGGGTATGGGTCCAAATTTTGGATCCGAAAACCATTCGTATCTGGGTCCAGCCCGTTGCCACCCCTACTGACCACGCTTGCCAAAACCTCGGAAGCGCTCACCTCCGCATAACACCCGAATAAAGTTGCGCAGGCATTTAACGAGCTTCGGCATGCATTAGGCCTCTCCTTTTTCTAACTCAATACAATTACAATGGCTTCTCTCTCCCTCATCCATACACTGAATTTCTAACATGAGGCATCTTCTTCTTCTACCTCCTCCTTTGGGCAGATTATATAAGAAAATATTAGATAAGCTTTAAAAATTATATAAAAAAATATTAGATAAACTTAAAACAAAATGAAAAATGATGTTTTAAGAGTGAACCTACCGGTCGATATTGATACTTCTCAAAACCAATTCCATTCCAGCCAATTCCCTGTCTGGATTGAGAATTGCTGAATTTGCCTTGATGCGAAGACTATCTAATGATTTCGGGTTACATCTGAACTAGCCCTTTTTGTCGGAAAGCAAAAATTCAGCTTAAATCCTTGGTATTGGCAAATGTACAAACCATAAAAAATTTACCAATTCAAACAAAAAACCAGAAATCCTATGCCTTCAGTTTTTCAACACATCCACAATACTCCCTCAGAAAAGAAAAACGACAATTCCCAACGTTCATTGAGACATGCTTGAAAATAGCTATTCATGCACCCAACATCCAGCCTTTTAAAATTGTAACTTAAATGTGGCAAAATTGTCACAAAAACAGAAATAATATCCAAAAAAGGGGAGAGAGTCTCCTGTATGTCAGTATGTTTTCCATCTCGGATGTTGTTTTCTCAACCATTTTGAAAACCAAAAAAAAAAAGTGATATGTAATATCATTTAACAAGAAACGTACTTCAAGTTACAAATTTTTGGAAAGGATTAAAATCGTTTTTTCACTTTGTTTTCTTTTAAATACTGTATTCTGTCTTTATTTTTTTCCTATAATTTTCTGCAAGTCACAAAAATTAATTAGATACAAACCAAGAATTAGCTCACCAAAAATTCATGACAAGAACTACCACTACACCACAAACCATGCTTGGAAATCAAATCTCTGTGAGACAAGGCACAAATAAACAGGACTATCCCAATAAAAGGCATAAATAAACAGGTGAGAATGGAAATGACATTTGTTTCATTACAAAATCCTAAGAAACATTCAAACAACCATCTGCCTCTTCCTATAACATCAGAAACACAACCTATAACATTTACACAATTACACAACAAAAGACCGACCATTATGAACCTACAGCAACAAAGATCACTCAAAAATTTGAAATCATATTGCTCATTGCCCGATTGTAGACCTCGTACCAAAACTAGTTTTCATCACAGTTATCAGATATCAGTTTGGAAGATTCTTCCTGGTCATTTTTCAAGCGTGCAACAAGTTCCTCCTAGCAGAAAAAAAAAAAGAAAAAGGGGGAAGGAAAGTAAGTTATTTGCAGGTATAAACAAAGTAACAGCCCAAGCAAATGTAAACAAGAACTCTCTCAGTCGGACAAAAAGGTGAAACAAGAAAGTGATAAAAAAATCTATCAGGCCAGAAAAATAAGGAAATGGCTTTGTTCACTTGCCTTCTTGCCCTTGGTAGGTAAGTTTCTCTCTTTCAAAAGATAGCGCAACCTTTCAACAGTCAAATTTTGGATCTCTCTTTCAGAATAATTAATAGAACCCTCTGCAATAGCTCCAAACATTAGAAGGCCAAACAATGAACAGTAAGCAGTGGCATTATTTATTTCAAGTAAATGTGATATACATGTGCGTGTTCACATATGCAGTAATTCACTACACATGTATGTTAAGCAGCTAAACTATAACTACACAGCATCAGCATTGGAAGAAGCAGAATATATTTGAATCAATTAAACCATGACAACAAACAAAAAAAGAAAACCTTATGTCAAAAATAAAAAGAAAAGCTACCAAAAGTAGATAATAAAAAAACTCATAAAGAATATGGCCTGAGTGCAGTCTTAGAAGATAGTCCAAGTTAGGAGACATGGACTTCACTCTCATCTAAATAACTGTTAACTTCTAAAAGACTTGTGTACTTACCTAATAAAACAATTTGTGTTCTTACGAGTAGATTTGATCCTCTCATTTTCAGAAGTTCTCAACATGAGTATATTCAGACAGACTACTTACCCAAATTATTCCAAATTTTTAAGCTGAACGCTGAACATGACAAAAAGATAATTAAGGGAAACAATGACTGAAACGGACTTCTAAATATCAGAGTTTCCAAACATAAGTCCGCCAGTCAGTCTTTTCAGGTTTCTTCATACACAAATCATCTCAGAATATCAAATTAAATAGGGATTACAGAAAATGAGACTGTCACTACTAGTACACAATGACCACAAACACTCCAAGCAGCTGGAGATAACATCGGACAGCTGGGGTGTGCCATTTCCAAACACAAATTCTGAGGAAAAATTTCTCAGACAGCCTGATCAATGATACATGTGAGCAACATAATTTTACATTTGACAGCTAGAGGTGATTGTGACATTTTTCTATCAAAGGTAAACAGTCCTATTGTACACTTTGCCAATCAACCATTTTGATCTACCAATTATTGTTTTTCTTTTGATCCTCCAATACTTAGATATTGAATATTAAGTACCTTTTCACAATTTTAGAATGGTATATCTTTTTAATTTTTCATTTTTCTTCAACTTGGACATATAATATAGTGTCACCCTCTTTTGCTAGTACCTTGATGATGATGGCTGAGCAATAAGCCATTTGGATCTGGTAATGATGGGCCCAAGTTATGATAAATTGAGGAAGCTACTTTTAAAAAGAAATTTCAGTAAGCAGATAAAATTTTCAGATGTATGAAGAATTTTTTACTAACTATATGTCACATTATGTCAAACGTCGAGGCCAATCATAACTACAATGAAAGCAGAACCAAGCATAGATATATAGAACAGTATTATTCACTATTATTGAATCAAGGTCAATAGCATTTTTAAAATTTCAGGCTTACTGATATTTGAATAGTAGCATAAATGTATTGAATTACCCAATATATGTATCATGTCTAGAGCTGGAGAGAGAATCATTAGACACCTCGAATATCGCTAACCAGTGACTGGTTTGATTTGGCCCCCATTCACGAAAGACAAGGGTATGGACTGGGTCAAGCCTTAATTCTATAGCAGTGTCCATGTTACAGTGAAGTGCATTTCCATTCCCTAGTAGAGGCTACACTTTCAAGAGTAATGCTCTGGTTTTTCAACTATCCCCTGAGATTGCACTCTCATGGGCGCTTGGTACTATGAGAACCAGTTTTTTGGTAGTCAACCTTTTGGCTTGTTCATTGTAGGTGGCTCCATCCAGCTTTGTACTAGATTTGTGACAAGATGGCTTTCAACTCCTAGGGAATTCCTTTTCTTAGAAGATCATAGAGTTATGGTTCTCTAGGTCGATTTTTGTCATTAACTCCCTAGTGATGAAACTTGGGACTCTAGTAGTTGGACTTTCAACAAAACTTATCTAGTAACTTATGATGTTGGTGAAAGGAGATTGCCATTGTTATGATGAAACTTGGGACTTTAGTGGTTGGACTTTCAACAAAACTTGTCTAGTAACTTATGGTGTTGGTCGACAGAGATTGTCATTGTCATAATGTCATCTGTTGGACACACAAGCCATTCAACAAGGAACATCCAATTAAACTCATCGGCATCCAAAGTGATACAAATTCTGTGTGTCATCAAAAGTTGGGGCAGATGCTAGTTGTCAATTTGTCTCTTCTTTATCCTCTACTTGAAATGACCCCTCATCAGTTCTAGTTTTCTATTTGTTCTTTACTGTTGGGGAATGGAATAAATTTTCTTCCGAAATGTTTAAGATACTTGTATAGAAAAAAAAAACACTTATGGAAAATATGACTTGCATGTCCGGGACCATCTTGTGTCTCATGTGTAAAGAATGCAAACCCAGAATATGAAGGGGACCAGCACATCCATACAAGTATTCTAGCACTACAATTTACAAAATTCCAACAAATATGAAAACTGAAAATTTCGACAAATATAAATACTAAAAATACATGAAAAAATTATTCTGGCAACAAATTTTTAAATTTTTTCTAATAAGTGACTATCATTCATTTGTGTGGTACATCAAGTTGCACGAAAGATATAGAGAGAATGTAAATCAGAAGCCAAGGATTCAAGGAAGAGTGAAAAAAAAAAGACAACCTAAGGATTGGAGAAGTGTCTAGTCGAAGGAGGCCAGCAATCCTAAACTCTATACAAAGTGGTCTCACTGTAATCCTTGGCCAATTGATCTGCCTCTTTAGTATGTTGAAAAGATCTCCACCGTACATGCTAAAAGCGCGACTCCTCAAAGTAATCAGCCACCCCCTACTCAATTGTATAAAAAAAAAATTCGAAAAATAAAATAAAACTGCCTGTTTGCATTTGCGTATTATATGCAACAAACGCAAAATGTGACGTGCCTCATTCACTACCAGGTGACATCAGGATACCTACAGTACCCCAATATTTTGTGCAAAAAATGGGGAATATCCCCATCTTTCCCAGAAAGGTGTTTTAGAGCTGTATGTGTTTTACTTCATCAAGACTAGCCTAGTGCACGTATGCAAACAGGCCCTAAGTGTTTAAGTGGGGTTACTCACAAACTGCATTACCCAGACACAGGTGTTGGTTTTGGACATGTTTCTACGGTGTCTGACCCAGCAGCCCCAAAATCAGAACCAGGCAAGCGACGCCTGTACAACCACTTTTTCAAGAATTAAAAATAGTTCAAACAAAAAGTGAAGTGAAAAAGCAATAAAAACACTCTTTTTCAAGAATTAAAAATAGTTCAAACAAAAAGTAAAGTGAAAAAGCAATAAAAACACTCAATAAAAAGGCATAGGGCCATGTCGAACCTAGGATGGTAAAATTTAAAAGCACCAGAACTTGTAAGCCATCATTAAAATTATGCCACGTTTTAAGCAAAAATACACAATATATACGTTTCTAAATCTCTCTTTATCATTTCGCATACCAGACATTTTAAAACATGATATTTTTATGGCGTTTCTAGATAACACAGATCACAAAATAGTTATTAAGATATTCTAGGCAGGATACACTTTATCCAAATATTATTATGTAATCAGGAAGGTCTTTTATCATGAAATTATGAGAATTCATCATATTGGTAAAATATGAATTTAAAGTATAAAATTTGATTTCAAATTTCAAAACATCCTAGTTGCAACTTGTCAACTTATAAAATCTAGCCTTTCTTTTATTAATCATGTATCTTAAGCCACTATGGATCATATTTAACATGTTTTAAATATTTGCAGCCCATGCTAACTGTTTATTCTTCTACCCAGGCAAACCCATTCTTTACTAATTTTTGGGTGACTTGAACTTGCCCAACACTTCTTCTTCTTTTTCAGTTACCATTATGCTCTATCTATGTAGGCAATTGCATTATGCAACCTTTTAAGGTAACTTCAATAACATTATGTCTTCCTATATCTCAGAGTAACTTACTTTCCCAATATATTCTCCCTTAAATTACTTATTTGGTCCTATCAAATATTGAACAAGAAAGGGATGAACTGTAAAGGCCTATTTGGATACCCACAAACTTGTGGCCAAGCCTACCGGTAAGCAGTTATGCTCTTTGAAAGTGTATTGACTATAGAGAAACCCTAAAATAAGCCACCCATGTTTTGTGGGAACAATTTGCGATAAGCACAAATACGCGCTTATTGAGGCCGCCAAACTGGCAGTAATTGTTGCTTTAAATTTGTATTCACATGCGACGGGTTATACCTCATATTGGAAAGACAATATATTGTTTTAAAAATCCAAAGCTTCCTTTTCTAAAAGCCCACACGAATGGCACGCATGAACCATGTGTCAGGCCCCGTGTCAGGCCATGTCAACACAACAGCTTAAAATGGGGCGCCCATGTAACACATTTGAGCGAAAAAAGCTCAATTTGTAATTTTTTTGCTTGCTGCAATCAATGTTAGATAGGAGTTTGCTCTGAAGAAGAAATCCAACTTTTGAGAGACGCAAATTGACTTGACAGCACTTAGAGCAGGCCTCTGAATATCCACAAACCCAAGACCAACTATGAAAATGCAACATAGAGCTGAAAGCAAACATGCAGAACCAAAACAGGAAAACCTTTAGGCAATAAGTAGTAGAATTACTCTCTAAGGAATATGTGTGAATAACAACTTCATATCTAGAGAAAGATAAGGAGAAAACTTGATCAATTGTCACCTAGTCACCGGTATAATCATGGATCATCTGAGAACTTGGGTTGTGATAATTTCCCCATACACATGAATGTTTCTATAGCCACTATTAGTACAACTTGAAGGTTTCATGAAATATGTTAAATGTGCATGGAAAGAAAAGACAGAGACCTATTTTCATATTACAGTAAGTTAAAGCTTGTAATCAACATCTAGATGGTTTTGTAATACGCTTATCTGGTAGGACATTTTTTTAGAGGGTTAGCGTTTGTTAGTTCGTAACAATACATGTGTAATCATGATATTATACCATAATGTACACGTCCCTCTAACTTATGCATCACATGCACAATGTAGGAAAGGGGGTGTAAAAAGTTTTTTTGAAACTTTTAACTTTGAATTAAGGGGGGAGGTTCGGGGAGGGGAAGAGGGGGGTTGTAAAAAGTTGCATCTGCATGTTGTAGGAAAGCAGGGTGTAGAAAGTTGCATATGCCCAATGCACCAGTGTCGACATGATATGACACCAATACTGAAGCTGGAGACACCTAGGATATTTGTAAATAGAAAACAATAATGCAAATATAATAATATAAATATGACAAATAAAATTTGTCCACCATAATATGGTATGAGTACATCTATTTAGCGAAGTATACAAGGTATACTCTACTGTACGATTGAGTTGGACACTGCCGTCTGTATCCTGTCACAGATTTTGGGAAATGTATCCCACTCCTCATATCAGTGCTCACATCCGTATGTGTGCATCTTCAGTCCGTATTATGCTTACAACAAATGAGTCTCGACTGTTTCTGGCTCCCATTTTGGACACTTGCAAATTCATGCAGATATTTATGGAAATTATCTCATTCATTTCCCAGAATCACCCCCTACATTCACTTCCTAGTCTAGCAACCATGCTACCATTTTATTTCTTTTAAACAAAAAACCTACTTGCAGATGATGCTTTAGAAGTGGCCTAGGTGACCACCTAGGCAACCCTAGAGGTTGGCAATTGAAATCCACTTCCCCTATGCCAAAGCGACCCGATTGGGCCAAATTAACTGCAGGTGGCCACAGCAGCCCTCAATGGAACCCATGAGTATAAATAACCCTCAAGTAAGGGGAATATTGGTCCTTTCACCTCCTTTTAAGGAGGGATAAGGAGTAGGAGGGTTTTCCAAAACACGCATTGCATCTCTAGCCGACTTTTGGGCCACAAAGTCAGATCCTATTCAATTGTATTTTGAAAAGGTAAAGCACGTTTAAGTAAACAATGACATGAAGCCTAACCTTTTGGTTTCAAAACTTCAAAGTATCTTAGAAGAGGTGTGTATAAGATGTGTAGAGGCTATGTTTGCACCTCCAACATCCAAAATCTGGGATTACACAGAATGCCATACCCACACATCACTCACCAATATCATCACAGTGAGTTACATAAAACTACTAATGGTGTACTCAACATTTATTCAGCATACATGTAGCATGTATGCATACACAAATAAAGTTACTTTATTTTTCAAAATAATGCAAAAATATATGGAACCTTCCTTTTTCATTTCCTATTTCCGGCCACCTTGAACTACAGGTGCCACATAGGTTACCAAGGTGCTGCCTACAAAATTTTTAGTGCAGTGCTAGGGAAAAATAAGGGAGGTTAGCCAGAAGAGCTGTTTATCTCAATGGCATAACCGTAAATGATAACATTGATACGCATTACTTCTTTGCTACATTCAGATCAATACAAGCTGCACTGCGTTATCTCATACAGCAAACGCCATCCACATCGGCTGATTTAAGAGTATACATTATCAATTTATAAACAACTTCAGGATAGTTCAGCTATTGGTTTTTAGCCTCATCAGTACTTACAATTAAAAAAGCAAACTCAGCTTGAAGGTACATGATATTGAATATGCCGCCTTAAAGAAAGAGATTCACACCAAATAGAGCACTTCTTTAATAAACAAAATTGGATGACCATCTAATGTGTCAGAGGTTCAATTCTTAAGTTTTTTAGACAGTTTACCCTTTCTAGAACTACTAGAACCATTGGCTACATTTGCTCTCTTCACAGAAGTCCTGCTATCTACAGCCCTTTCTGCAGATCTGCCAAAAGCAACGCAAAGACGAATCAATAAAGGATGGCAACATTACCAATCAGAAGGAAAAAAGAAAGATGACAACACTATTTGATAAGAAAACGAAAATCAAGGGCACAATTTGATGAAATTGTGGCCACACAACATGCACACTCTGCAAAAAAAGTCCTATATGAGGTTCTCAGCTATAGAACACTAAATCTTTAATGAAGCTTGTATACGTCTCACTCTATAGTTGCAATAAACAAGTAAAATCTCCGAAACCTAACAGCAGTCCATTGTTCATTGTTGCATAAGTAAAATACTAAGTAGAAACAATTCCACCATCAATGGAGAACGAAGATTAACTCAAAAAACGTTATTTTTCATAATAGACTATGGGCTCATCTGGATGCCACCCCAACACATGTTTCAGCTTCGTTTGTTTGTTTGTTTTTGGTTTTTTTTTTGTGTTGTGTGTGTTTTTTTTTGGGGGAGCAGGGGGGGGCGGGAGATTTTAGGTCGCACCAAGTTTGTCATTGAGTGGCTCCTTCCATTGTCACTCTAGAATCCCATGTAGGAGTGGGTACATGGAAAATGCCGTTGTTCTCTAAGTGAGATGAAAATAAAAAATACTACTTTTCATCCCACTTGCAAAACACAGCATTTGTTGGAAGTCAAAACATACATTGTTCAAAATGTACCTTGCGGCCAAACGAGATAAAATTTACATTGCTTAGATAACCTTATTGGTGAAGGAGGAAACCATAACTATTTACATCATTTTATACACCAAGCACATGTTTCAGAGCTGATCAAAGAAATCATTAAATACCCAGATGTCAACAAACTCCCATAGCAAGCCAGTGACTAGAAGGCCCAAAATGATAATGTAGCTCACATGGGCACCTAAGGCACTACATTGTCTAGAATGTCAACAGCTAAAGCAGTTCTAAGCTAATAGGCATACGCTCAAAAAATTTAAAACTTAGCCCAAAACACTGAAAAATAAAAGAAAAGAACAAAAACGGGGAAAAAAAACAAGCATCAAACATATTAACAAGGACATGACTTCAAGGGGAGATCCTCTGAGGGATTACCTTTCATTTGAAATTTGAAATTGAAATCACAAAGCTTATAGAAATTGTGCAACTAGGATTTGGTCCGTCCATACAGCCCAGCAAGTCAACAATGCATTGTCAGAGTAAGTGTAAAGAATGTGAAAGAGCACATCAATGTGGAGAATGGCCTAAGAAACATTATTGAGAAACTTAAGGAGTCTTTGTGTGTGTGTGTGTTGTAAATATATATGTGTATGTATAAGTATGGAGTTGAGAACAAAGTACAAACTAGTGGTAACAGTCTTAAGTGTAGCCGTCGATATGACGACACTTCTAGGGCCATCCTCTCCTCCTGGCTCATTTCTTCCTTATCCATCTGTCTCCCCCGAGGTCATCTATCTTCCTTCAGTTTCTTCCTCTAACCTTGCCAAACAGTATAAATCCTCCCTGGTGGGGGTATTCCATCCCTAGAGAGACGACGCTAAAGGTATCAAGAGTTGGGCCAGAATGGGTGGCAGGAACCTGGCCGTCGATATGACTTCACTTTTGGGGCCATCCTCTCCTTCTGGCTCGTCTCTTCTTTATCCATCTGTCTCCCCCGGCCTCATTTCTATTCCTTTAGCTTCTTCCTCTAACCTTGCCAAACAGTTTAAATCTTCCCTGGTGGGGGTATTCCACCCCGAGTGAGACGACGCTAAAGGTATCATGAGTTGGGCCAAGGATGGGTGGCAGGAACCTGGCCTATCGTGTAGACAACTCTCTAATAAGTCTTTCTTGTTCTCCTTCCCTTCTGTGGAAGGAGCTCTATTCACACTTTGGAGCTCCACCAAAGTCTCTTTCAGGGGAGCTTCCCTATCTCTCTCTAGGTGGTCCGAAGATTAGGGTGCTTTTCGTTGCCAAAAAGTTTGGCTTTCGGCAACCTCTATCCCTCTCCACTCTTGGTGCCTTGACATTTTCAAAGCTATTGGTAACACGTGTGGCTCCTTTGTGGCTGTCCACTGGCATTCTATGGCAAGCGTCCTGCTAGGTTCTCTGTTGTTGATAGTAGACGTTTTAGACCCCCAAACCATCCTCCCTTCCTTTGGCTCGAAGTGGCGGGGGCTTACTTTCAGGTGCTGCTTTCTTGGTCTGTAGCCTCCCCACCTTCCCCTTGGTTTGTTTTGTCGTTGGACCATCACCTGAGCAGTCCAAACTCGCTGGCTCCTCCTTTGGATACTCAGGAGCCATGGATTGTTGTCTCGAGCAAACGTCGGATCAGAAATTTTGCTCATCGCCACTATCCTCAGCATCGCCTGCCTCAGGAGAGTTTGAATTAACCTGTTTGAGCTCCACCACGAGGTCACCCTACTCCCCAGGCCACTTGCACCGCCATCTCCGTATCTGCCCCCTCCACCTTGTCTCCTGGACAAACGGGCCTCAGACCCATTAGCCCCACCTCTGATAGCAGACATCACCACTGACCATGCCAAGACCGTTCCATTTTTGGACGACACACGTCGTTTCGAGGGGAACACAGTTGGGGGCGCCTCTGACATTCAGCTGCCCCTTTGTCAGCTTTCTTGTAATGTTTGTACCAGCCAACTCCCTTTCCGTGCTCCTTTCGTTGAGTACTCGTCTTTTTAGGACACCTTGTCAACCTCAATTTCCCACCCCTCAACCTCCATTCCCCTCCATCGGTCCCCTTGCGACCTTGTTGATGACATTGGTCGGGTGCAGGCTTTCTCTCCTGCCACCTTTCAACCCCTTGTACCCCACCCCAAAGCTACCTGTGCTGTTGGTCAATCTATGCCCCTCCCTTCCCTCTTCACCCCCATCCACTTCGGCTCCATCCCCTTTTATTATCACCTACCCCTCACCGATTTCGGCCTTCCCTCAACCTCGCCGCCTGATCCATCTTCCCCTACCACCCCTGTCCTTCATGCAGCACTACAGCTACCGTTACCTATGCCCTTGGGCGCCTCGCCGCCCTTTCACCTTTCCCTGGACCCGTTTGCTCCGTCACCCATTCCTCCTCCACCTCCTCCCCCTTTTCTCTCTCCCTTCAAGCGAAGTCCTTCTTGTCGCGTGCCTGCATCCCCTCCTCCCCTTATTGAATTTTTTCTCCAAGAACCCTAGCAGAGGAAGCCCACCCCCCCCCCCCCCCTGTGGATCCCGGTGTATCATCTATGGTGGCACCCCCAACCAATACGGATCCTCGTTTTTTCCCTGCCCCTCTTCTTCCTGTTTTGGTTGGGGTTCCTACTGGCCCTTTCAATGGGAAACCCACCCACCAACCACTATCCATCCCACCATCTCTTTTCGGAGAACCTTATCCCTCCGACCTACCCATCACCGCTATTCAATCTCCCCTTTTGTCGACTCCCCCGGACCCTTAGCTTTTGTAGGGTTCTGTCTCCCCCCTAACCCCCTTTGCACCCCCTATTGAACCAATTCTTCTCCCCGTTTTATCTCTGCCCCCTAAGGCCACTTCCCCCTCCTCATTCCCTAACCCTTCCACTTTTACCGTCCAGGAAGCAGTTGTCGATCTTCACAATGAGCCCCCTACCCGTCATGTCCTCACGAGGGTCCATGTGCAACCACCCGAGGTCTCCTTGGAGGACCATGGCAACTCTTTAGCAGAGGACCATGGAAACTCTTTAGCGGAGGACCCTTTCGGTCTCATATCTGGCATTTTCTCGCCCACCTCGACAAATGGTCTTCCATCCCTGGATCTGCCTGCCCTACCTTTGCCAGTTGTTGGATCGTCGTCACCTTCTCTCAATACTTCGTTGTCACCTTCAATGGACTATGGATACGTTGACGGTGTGGACCCAAGTCAGGGTAACATCCATGACGTCTTGAATGTGGTAGGCTTCCTCCACACAGAACCCGAAGGACCATTTCCTGAATTTTTCAAAGGCGTTACTCAATCAAAATTCCAGGTAAGCAAGAAGGGTAGTCACAAGCTCGCAAACTCGGCCTGCATCTTGAACTTTGACCAACCCTCTTCCTCAAACCCCTCGGTTTCCCCTATTTTAGCACAGCTTCCCTCCAAGGGGTTCCTGCTCAGACAATCCCTTCGGAACTCGCTTCTCTCTCTATCGTCTTAATGTTAATAGCCTCCTGGAACATTCAAGGACTCGGTTTGCCTAACAAAAAACAAGCCGTCAAGGATCTTAATCTTAGGTTCTGTCCTATTGTCTTGGCGCTGACTGAGACCAAACTCCCCTGCCTTCACTTTCTAATGTTAGACTTGTCTGGGGTCTCAAACCTTGCTAATGGGTGGCTCTCCCTGTTGAAGGGGCATCAAGGGGTATTTGGGTAATCTGGGATCCGACTGCCCACTCTCTGTGCTCATCTCTTGTAGCCAGATTTCTAGTTTCTATCTTGCTTTCTAAGATACCCGATGGTATGCTGTGGAAATTTACCGAAGTAGACCGGTTCTTTGGGATGAGCTCAATCTTGTTGCATCCCTCCCACACCCAGCTTGGTGCATTGTGGGAGATTTCAATGTTACTAAGTGGGCTTTTATGAGAAATATCTCCACTAGGATCACCTCGACAATGACTGCCTTCTCTGACTTTGTAGCCCATAACAATCTTCTTGACCTACCCATTCAAGGGGCTCAGTTCACCTGGTCCAATCATGCTTCCTCTCCTCTCTTCAAACTGGACCATTTCTTGGTCTCTTTACTGTGGGACTCTAAGTTTCTAAGGTGTGGCCTTACCCAAACCAACCCCAGACCACTGTCCCATTTTACTCAATTCTAACCATGCTGAGAGAGGAATCAACTTCTCAAGTTCGAGTTGGCTTGGTTGGAAGAACCCTCTCTTTTACTTAACTTCCCGGCTTGGTGGCAGCCACTGTCAGACATGGTTGAGGGCTGAAGTTGGTTACAAGATCCAACGCAAGCTCCAAATTTTGAAGGCTCACCTCAAGTCTAGGAGTATGCAGCTTCCGAGGTTTTTTGGGCCCCATAAAAGCTTGA